TCGTGGCAGGCGCAGCATTCTGTGCATCTGGGTGTGTGTTTGTGTGGCAGGGGTCGCATTCGGCAGCTGTCTAGAGGGACAGGATGTTGTCGCGCGCGCGGCGGGGGGCGTGCGAAATCGTGGCAGGCGCAGGGGTGTGCGAAATCGTGGCAGGCGCAGCACTTTGGCGATGCCGTTGCGAAATCGTGGCAGGCGCAGCACTTTGGCGATGCCGTTGCCGAAGTCGTGGCAGGCGCTGCATTCTGTGCATCTGGGTGCTCTGTAATCGCATCCATACAAGGGGCGCACGGTACATGTGTGTGGACATTTGAACTCACATCCTTGGGAAAAACATAGCATGTGGGGTTATCCGGTCCTTTAATTTTTGAGTGTGTGTGTGTGTGGTTGGTTGTGTGTACATTTGGTGTGTTTGTGTGTGTGTGAGTGTGTGTATTAGATTCCATGCGCAAGTCAAACCAATGCACATATTCCTCCCGACCTTCCAGTGCGACAGGCAGCCATTTCAATAGGGGCCCACCTCAAGAGTGAGTGGACATGAATCCCCACCGAATGTTGCCGTCCACCTAACTAAATGATGTCCTCAATAAGTGTCGTTGCAGTTTGTGTGCCAGATTCTCCCCCTTACTAAACCAGCTGCGCCCACAGAGGCCCCGTGTGAACTCGAATTCTGATGTCCTTCTTCTTCCGCACGGCTCAGAGGATCGCTGTTCGAAGACTCATTCCTTTGGCGCGCCCAATTTTACTTGATGTCCCCAATGAAAACTCACCACCCAGCTAATTGATTGATGTCCCCAACGAAAACTCAGCAGGACATGATCCTCCGCTTCGACTTCTTCCGGGACTGGATCGAGGGCGGAATCCCGGTCGCCTATTGGATCTCCTCCTTCTACTTCCCGCAGGCCGGACGGCCAGAGTCGCGGAGTCGCCGTCAAAACCCTGTACCCCTGGTGCCCAAAATGGAGGCATAGGTTAGGACCCATGGCCATGTGTGTGTGTGTGTTTCTTGAGGCTACCTTAAACCCACTCCCTTTATGGACTTTCAACATTCTGGGAAGAATGTTTTAGCTGCAAACCACAAGTTTGGACTGGTTTTGGACAGGCCACTCAGGAAGTGAGTAAAGGCACACCACACAAGGGGAACCACCCATTTAGGGGTGCCCTATCTAAGCACATGAATTATTTTTAGAGCTGGGAAAGCAGCAATAGAGCATAAAATTGTTGTTTTTGCAGGGGATCGGTTTTTCACTTCCTGAGTTCCTTTGGGAAGACCATTCTAGTGGTAAATTCAAAGTTTGCACTTTTTTGGCCAATCCACTCAGGAAGTGAGGTTTGCACAGCCCAGCCACGTGTTTGTCTTTTCACCGTCCCAACGAAGCCGATCGAATCGAAGCCAGCGATCCAGGGCTTCTTGACCTCGGTGCTACAGGGCTACTCCCGCGGCAAGTTGATCCCGGTGGATCAGCGACTTAGCCGAACCCATTGGCTCCATTAGGGGTCCCTTTAGTTCCATTTGCTGAGCAGAATATGTTTTAATTGCCCGTGTTGGTTCTAAAGGGAGTCTATCACTATTGGACCTACTTTGTTTGTTTTCCAGGAGACTCAAGCAACTGAATGTGTGTTTAATTTTCCCCTTTCCCCATTTCCTGGTTTTAACCATCACGTATTTTTGCCCAAGTTGGCCCATGTACTGTGAGTTTCCTTGGTAGGGGTGATGTCTTAAGGGGAAATATAGGGAACCCTGTTTGCCCCTGTTGGTTTTAAAGGGAATCTGTCGCTACTGGACATATGTTCTCATTTCCCGGAAAAACGTATGTTGGGTTTCAACCGGCACGGGGCATGGATCACAGGCGTGGCGTTTCGCTGGTGGCTGCTTCGCGAGCGACGGAGAATTCTTCTGCCATCCGAAGCCAGAACCTGCAAGCATTGTTCTAGGGGTTGATTCAAGTCAACAGCAGGTCCGTGTTGATTCACGCCATGATTCTCGGAACATGTACCATGATTCTACACACCATGAATAAAGCATGGTATGATTTGACTGGTACTTTGTACTATACCATGCCCATTCTTTTCAGCCATGGTTTGTTTTCAAGAGCCAGCCATCTCCCCAGGGTTTTTGGTTCTGGAAAGATTCGGATCCCTGGAAAGAATGGGGAAGTTACCCTCAGAATTGTCTCGAGTTTTCGCCCGGCGCCTTTGAGGTTGTCCTTCGAGTTCGTGATGCAGGCGCCGGATTCCGCCTTTGAAGTAAGATTTGGGGGATGCCACGATGATTTATACGAACACGTTCACTTTCTCAAGGAGTTTCGGAGCATCCCCGCTCCCAGGCCTTTGGGCCTGGGGGGATGGCTTTGTGTCTCTTAGCGGGTTTCCAATGTCGTTCATCTCACCTCGCGCACGACGCTTCCAGTTGTGGTGGGAAGGGGCACCCAAGTCGTGCCAACGGGGTTAGATTTCTGGTCCGGGTTTTTGGAGTGCATTTTTTCCAGGTGTTGCTGGTTTTAGACAGCTTTTGGGTTCATTCAAAGTGAGTCGGTGATTTGTTGGTTTGGAAATGTACAGTGGACGGACAAAATCCATTTGAATACCTCAACAACTGTTATGGTTTCATTTCCATGGTTTCATCTCGTGGTGCGGTTTCTGAAATTTCGCGTCTATTCATAGTGTGGCCGTGTCTAAATGGATGGTTTGTTCAACCTTTGTCCCTTCCAAAACCAGCCGAAACTTGGGGGTCTTAACCAAGAGGACAAGCACACACACACACACACACACACCCACCCACCCACCCACCCACGCACGCACCCACGCACCCACGCACCCACGCACCCACGCACCCACGCACCCACGCACCCACGCACCCACGCACCCACGCACGCACGCACGCACGCAACCACGCAACCACGCACGCACGCACGCACGCACGCCGCACGCACGCACGCACGCACGCAACCACGCAACCACGCAACCACGCAACCACGCAACCACGCAACCACGCAACCACGCAACCACGCAACCACGCAACCACGCAACCACGCAACCACGCAACCACGCAACCACGCAACCACGCAACCACGCAACCACACACACATTTTGAACTCCTCAGGGATTTCGCGTCACCATCCCCCAGAGTCCCCTAAAGACCCCCCCCCCACAGGACACCAGCGACGCCCAAGACCTGCAGACCAAGCCGGAGGAAGGCATTTACATCCACGGTCTCTTCATGGCTCCTCGGCCTTCAATTCGGTGACCGGTGGGTGACGGGGCGGTCCAAGGTGGATGCGGAGCCTCGCCACGGTTTGGTTCTAGGCGCAACCTACTCGGCCCAGGTGGTTTTTTGGACTTTGGGGGTCTTTTGGGGGGTTTTGCAGGTGGGTATTGGGCGGTTTGCTTTTTTGATATGTAACCACTCGGCCCGTGTGGGTTTTGGCGTTTTTGCCAAGGTTTTGTTGTAGGCGCAACCTACAACATCTCGGCCCAGGTGGTTTTTGTGGATTTCGGGAGGGCGCAGAGGCACAGGGCATGCGATGTGCAAAGGAATGAGAGTGAATCGTGACAGTCCGGAGGGTAACGTAAAACACGCATACCCACCACCAGCAAAGCTGCCCCCATGGTCAGTGCTGAATGTGTATACATATTATATATATATATATATTAAGATATAGTTTTGTACCCAAGCTGACATTCTGCGTGCAAGTTGTTGTGAGTTCTTTTGAACTGAAGTACGACAGAGGTGTTCTGTGCCATGCGCCCGAGGATGGAGCAGCCTGGAACTATGAGGACATGGCCATCGATGACCAGGAGCTGCATTGGCCCCCCCCCCCCCGAGTTAAGCACGGCGCATGAGGTGCTCAATGGAGAACAGCTTAAAACTCGAGCCCTGCATATCCATCCAATGGGTCCAAGACATCAACATGTTGAAGGATTGCGCACAGTCTGAGTAGGGTTGGATCATTCCAGCTTGCATGAACTGCAAGGTCGATCTACCGCTAGACCTGTCTCTCTTGCGTGCCCATTGCCCCTTCCAACTTCTGTCAGCAAATGTGCTCCCCTGCTGATTTACATGAAAGCTCAACTCCCATCGATTTGAGGTGGGTCAGGCAAGCAGCCCCTTGAATGAACTTGGAGGTTTCACCCATGAGATCGTCTCTCCGGGGTTTAGCCATGTCCGGTTCATGCTTGTTTCACCTAGACGGAAGCACAGACACAAGAAGCCTGCTATGCCGGCTTTGTTTGACGCCCACATATCGATTCCACAGTTGTGCTTGCAAAGAAGGGCATGGAGACATTGGCCCTTGCTGTTCGATTTGCGTGCGTTTGCCATCCACTGGGTATTCCCGTGGAGCATGAACGTTGATATTCCCTTAGACGTTTTATCATCCAAGTTGATATGGAACCTCATGGTGTGCGACACAACCATTACCATCTGTACGCCGACTTCATTATCGTTGAGATGATATTTGAGTGTGTCTTTCTGTTTTGAGAAGATCTGTTGTTTGGTGGGTCTTCAAGGAGAAAAGAAGGACAACCTCCAATTTTGCCAGCAATCCTCATTTTGAGGAATCTCCCATTTTGAGACACACCAATTTGTGTGTGCTTTGCAACGCCTTTTTTGTTGCGGGGGGAGGACCACAAAACTCCTTGCTTTTGCCAGGAGTTCGGCACGATGTTCGTGAAAGCGCCGATCATCAACTTCATCCCCTGGCAGGTTCGACGAGATGCTCGCGTTCGGATTTTTCGCTGGCTGAGTCCCGTGGATTGACGGCCTCCAAACCAGTACCCCGCATGGGAAAGCGGGTTTAATATAGTGGTATCTAGTACTGGCTGTGTATCCCATTAACTCCCTGCATTTTGGTAGCTGGGGATAGTGAAACCCAGAGAGAGACAAGGTTGGAAGATCTCAGCTATGCTGCCCGCGCCCAATTTCTCTTGCCAATCCTGGTGGATAGTTAGGGTCATGTTTGTTTTGATGTTGACCCCGGATTGAAGCAAGTCTTGGGTGTTTCCCTTGTTTGTGAGGACTGCCCTCTGAGATGGGACAACAACCGGGTTCAACATTATGAGCCGACTACCTCTATGAACAGCTTACGTCATATACAGGTATGAATATATATATATATGTACCTTATGTAACGTCAATGACATCAAGGTGTAGAGGAGTTTCACTTGGCAGGACTTGTTGTTTCACGTTGGTGTGGCAATGGAAGTCGGAAAGTACAGTTGTTGTTCACTGCTTATGGCAGCTTCCTAAGCACTCCGCCTGCGGGGGGATTGAAAGCACGTGGGCGCTCAGGCGGGATCACGAGAAACCCGGCTGGGCCCTGGGATTCAGTTACCCTTAAAACAATGGCGCGTCATATAGACACAATTGTTCACCTAAGGATTGTCATCTGAATTGGGTCCTTGCCATTCTTTTAATGAGGGTTGAACATGGTTGAACCCTAGGTGAGTGCTCTTTGAGGGCACTCTTTTCAGGCTGCTTGAAAGGGAAACCAACAGGAACGCAAGCAGTTTTGGGGGCCCCAACTTTGACACATTCCCGAAGGAGGGATCAATCGGGACCACTTTGCAATTCATTGTTGTTCCGCATGCCCCGCTTCGGAACAGATGCTGGTCGGTCAAGAGCACAAGGAAACCATCAGCAAACAGTGGGGTTGTGGCAGAGTTGGTCGGTGTTTCCTCCATTTCCCTTTTTTGGAACCTCAAAACGTGGCGATCGTTTCAATGGAAACCACCAGTAAATTGCTCAAGTTTTGATTTAAAGAAGAAACAAAACAGTGAACCTTGTTGGTCCGTAGGTTTCCAACAGCAACATCAGATGTAAAATCTTATTGTCCCGCCCTCGAGTTAGCTTCGGTGTCCTTTTGATCGCCTAGTTTGGTTAGACGGTTAGACATCGATGGGCTCCACTGGTTTATTTGCCAGGGCAACCCATCTATTTCACCAAAAAGACGCCTATGGCTTCATAGATCATGTGGAGTCTGTTGGGGTTGGCGGTGTCCGACTTGACGACATTGGTGGATCTCAGTTTTGGTGGAGTTGTGATTTTCCAAGTCCACGACGCCCGCCACGTTGACCCAATAGTCCACCCGGCAGGTTTCATGACGTGCGCATGGCGGAAATACAGGTCTAGCCGCTTTCCGTGCCTAGCGGCTCCCCGCAAAAGTGATGTCATGTGAATGGCTCAGTCTAGTACCACATATTTGATTGCGAGGCTTCACAACCACGCGGGCATCCGGTTTTAAATGTCTTGATTGTATTAGCCAATCAGCTGGTTGCGTATACATTGGTTGCCCTGTTGGAATCCTTTCTGGTATTGAGCCAGGCAATTGTTGGTGTATGTTGTGATCATTCTGTTGGCTAATTTTGCCACCACCCATACTTTGTCAGCACTCTAGTGCGCTACCTTGTCCTTGGATTTAAACCAGGAAAGGTTGAAGACCTTTTGCTCCAGGTATGGACATCCCAGGTTTGCTCCATAGAGCAATCCATTAATCCTGGAAACTGGGAACACACATTTGGCTTCGAACTCGCAGACGGAAAGCCAGGACAAGAAAGTGAACCAGGAGAAGCAGCTTGGCGATGGGAGATGCCCATGTTTTTCTCCCAAATTGGAATGAATCCAAAAATGATTTGGGGGTGCTTTTTTTGGGGGGGAGCCTCCATCATGGTGGTGGTTTCCGATTAAACTACCAAAAAGGGGGGGGGGGGCAAAGGCGATATTTCTAGACAGTATTTCCTTGGGTTCCATGTTGATCTGCAAAAGCGCACATCATCGCTTACTTTGCGTGCCCCAAGCGGAGAGCAAGCCAGTTTTTCATTTGTCAGCCTGCCAAGAAGATGCTCGATGCCAGAATCGATTTCTGCGATTTTGTACGGGGAACGATGGCAAGTGGCATGTTTTTGCTCTGGAGGGCCTGGCTCAACAATTGTCCACTTCCATGTCGACACCTTCCATTTGCTGTTTTTGTTTTTGTTTTTTCAAGAAAGAACCAGTTGGGTTCAAAGGGAATCAATCACTATTGTTATCTATTGTTTTTTGTTTTTTTTCCAGGAGGCTTAGGCAAATGGAGGACTCTGCCTGCTTGTTAAGCCGCAGCTCCTCGGACCTGGTCTACTTTGAGGGCACCGATCTGCTTGATAATTTGTCATGGATCCCTGGGCTTGGCTTGGGAAACTGCGCCACAAGCAGCGATGTTGCCTGGAACAAGCACTTGGAGGGCGGTTTACTTCAAGGATGACAGGTTCACCTACCCACGCCCTTGGACTTGATCACTTCAATCAGAGGGTTGAAAGAGAAGCGAGGGGCCGATCGGACCAGAAACATATCACCATCCCAAAGTCCGAAAGATGAGGTACCGCTGCCCGATCTACAAGACCTCCATCCGCGCTGGTACACTCAGCACAACAGGGCACTCCACCAACTTCGTCCTGGCCATCGAGGCTCGGAAACTTGGAACCCAAACCTATGATTCTGTGGTATTGGTGTCCTTTGCTCGGTTAGTTTGGGCAATGAAATACATGGGTTCCACTGGTTTTGATCGGTCTTATGCGATCCATTTGCCAGGGAACTCCATCTATTTTGCCAAAAGGACGCCTATGATTTTGTTGGCTTAGGCGGCCCCACCAAGATCCGACTTGTGGGGATTGGGGGCGGGGGGGGGTTCGGGTCGTGTTGTTCGGAGGGCTTCTCTTGCCAGGCACCTCCGTAGTGCTCCAAGATCGGACAATCTGGTCATCTCCCTGCTGATTTAGCATGTTTCACTTTCAGCCGTACATTCAAGAGAGGCCCACTGCAGTTTTCACCATCATGGCCGCACATGCATGAGACGCGTGCTTCGCAAGCTGCGGTTATCCCACAAAACATGTACATTTTTGCCGACCCTAATTCACCATTGCCATGTAAACAAATGCATTGTCCGATCTTGGTGGGTGCCGCATGGCATCGCTTAGAGTTGCAAGCAAGGATTTGAACTCAGGCGTCAGAGTTTAAGTGAACTTTGCCACTAATATTGAATTGTGCAACAGTGTTTCCGGTGCATCAACACGCTAGAACCACCCCGACCGCCTGGGGTCTGGGACATGCTCCAAGATTGCCAACATTGGGCTTCAGCAGCGTGACTCTCGCATGAATGGCACAACAGATGTGGTGGTGTCAAAAGTACCGACCCTTTTTGGGACTTTGGCGGCCTTGTGCCGCCTTTTGAAGAGGATACCAAAAAGGGCCCCTACTTTTGACAAACCTTGAAATCTTGGTCGCTTTTTATTGCCCTTGAAGGTGTGGCTTATTTCCAATACGTGCAGGTCCCTGACGCCCAAAAGCCGGCCGTACAGGGATGTTCAAGCTTTTTTTTCTGAGGTGGCTTGCAAAATCTACGGTTCATTCAAGCGAGTTGTTGGCTCCGGCCCAGCCTATACGTTATGCGAAGTGCGTGTTTCTGGGCAGCAGGAGTTTTACCGGCTTCAACAGGTAACGTCAATGAATGAGAGGCCAACACCATAGTCAATCCTTTAGTTTTCAGCACTACACTTTAGAGTCGTAGCATTATTTGAAGACTTTGAGAGATGGATGACCAACATTGAGCCTCCCTTGTCTTAAGAATAGGGCATTCCGTTGATGCAGGTTGAGACGCTCTTGGAGGCTTCCTACTGGACTCTGAAGGGAGCTGCCATGCTGACGATGCTGAATGACTAATCCGGTCTTGAGGCGACCCAATTAGCATTTGTTGGGTTGAAAAAACGACTTCCATTCATTGGTTCCACGCCGATTCCACTTGATTGGGTTAGCAAAATATCACACTTGATTGGCGCAGTCCTTCCAGCCATTGGAAATCAAATTGCACAAGCCATCGGTTGTGTTTGTTTCATCTAGGCCTCAAGACCAGCTTTGAGGTGCCAAAGCGTCAGAGGGCCGCCCCGGCTGGCTCCATCGCACCTTGCGGACTCGGGTTGGCGCAAAGTGCAAGAGCCACACCAGACCGAGCGACATAGCGAGTGGCTTGATCTACGGAAGGCTACAGTGGCCGGACAGGAGCATTTTATGAGCAACATACTGAATTTGGTGCACAAGGCAGAAACCCCGGTGGTTGAGATCGCAAACACATGGCGCGTTGCAAAACGAGGCTAACGATTCCAAACGCGAGCAGGAATTGGAGCATAAGGTGGGAACTCATGACCATTAAACCGTGTAGCAAATAAGTGTCGTAACACTTCTTCGGGTTGGTTGAAAGGGACATCAAAAGGAAGCCACAATTTAGGGGTCACTCTATTTTGACATTTACCCATAGCTTAAATCCAAGTCCCTGTGCCAGACAACTTTCTGCTCTCTTTGGGGGCTTGCGCCTGCTTTGTATTGGCCTGCTTCTTTCCTTGTGCTGCTTTCGACAGATGGAGGAGACATTTGTAGGATGCGATGATCAAGTCACGATTCTGAGCAGCAGCGTTTTTTGTTTTGCACAGGCTGCCCCGGTTACAAGTGAGGGATTTTCGGAGTCCAACTTCCAGATGATGCTGCCATTGGTAAGCTAAACGTTTGGTGCCAGCAGGCCACGCGTCTAATATTAGATGTAAAATGTCCAAACATGTCAATCATATCATGCATCGAAAATTGAACACCTTCAATGCGCCTGGCGCTCGGCACATGTGTTCTCCTACCACATGTTTGGCACCTTTTGGTTGTTTATGGATTCCGTTGAATTTCAGTGAGGCCAGATGCAGTCACAGCACATGGCATAAAACGAGTCTTCTCAGCTTCAACACATGCCCATCCTGAAGATCCGAGCACGAGGCAGCTGCATTCGGCAGATTGCGCCCTACGTGTGGCCCGCCCTGTCTCACAGTTGGAGTAAAAGAGAGGCTGTTGAGCCGACTTGCCAAGGAAATTTGGGCCTGCTCAGCGGCAATGCTTGAAATTTGTCAATTGGCGCAAGCATTTTGACAGCCAACCTGCCTCTCAAATGCTACTGATGGTTTGGTTGTTGGCAAAACCGCAAGGAAAGCGGGTCTGGCAGTCCAAGGGTTTTACTTGCGACGTCTCTAGTGGGGTTCTGTGCGGGTTGGTGTTGGTGAGCAGGGTGCAAATAGAATACGAAAAGGGGTGCAAACACGGCCAATGCATCCCTTTGATCTTTGCGGTATCACATTTTCATGTGTTTGCAATATGGCCATGAATGTGAATTGTAAGGAAACACCTGGGAAGTGGTTGGCGGACAAAATTACCCACCGAAATGATGTCCACAGGGTCCCTGATTTAAATTCATACCCATGATGAGAACTGATGCGTCCTAGTGCTTTTAGATTGCACTTGACCCTGAGCTGGCTGGATTCGCAGATGCATGGTGTCAGAAGACAAGCATGGGGCAAGCACCCGGGTTGGCGATGTATGAGATCATGGTGTGTTTTTGTTTTTTTCGTTTGCGTTGAGGAGTCGCACATATATACTGAGAGTTGTTTGCCTGGTTGCTCGGCAATTGCCCCGTGCCTTTGCGTGCATGTGTAAGGTGGTAAGATGCCAAAGTTCTTGAACGTGTGAGTATCAACATTCAACGGTATTGCGATTGATTCAGCAACCATTGCTGCACGGACGCTTGGATGTACGTGAAGCGGAATCTCTGTTCTGCACGAGCTTCATGTGCTTGTGCTATTGTGTTAACCTCTGGGGATTTGCAAAAGTTGTTTGTGGTTGGGCGCCACTCATTGCTGTGTGTTTGTTTTTAGTATCATCAGTTGTGGACAGCCTCCTGCTACATTGTGGAGCACAGCCAAAAGGACCTGCTATTGAGTGCGTCTTTGCAAGCCTTTAGGAAGGCAATATCATTGTATCCATTAAGTGGGCATGCAGTTTTGCACTGGGTGGTTCACCTTGTAGTGAGGGCTGCAACAACCCTGTACCAGCAATCCCTTGCGCAAAAGGGGACCGTGTCCATTACGCATACATGAGCAGCAAAGGAGCTGCGCATTGTAGTGCATCAACGTCTTGGCGGGCGATGCCCTTGCAACATTGCAACTGGGTGCTAAATTCCCAGCAATTGTTTAATTTACCCAGAGGAAAGCCAAAGGGGATGGGTAAACTGATTTTCCCAAACCTTTTAGCATGACTTGCAATCAGCCATTGACGAGACTTCTTCGAGCAGCTGGCCACCTGCGTGAATTCGTGCACGCTTGGACCGACGCTGCAAGGCGCCCTGAGTCCGCCAAATGTGTGCTGGGTGGATTTTCGGAAGCGGAGAAAACAGCAGCGTTGGTTGTGCGCTTGGCAGTTCTCTTCTGAGTTGGTAACAACATGTGACCTGTGGAATTTCTTTGGTTTTGGAAATCACAAGACATGACACTGAGATGTGAGTGTGTGTGTGTGTGTGCGCGTTTGTGTTTGTGTGTGTGTGCGTGTGTGTTTGTGTCTGTGTGTCTGTGTGTCTGTGTGTTTGTGTGTCTGTGTGTTTGTGCGAGACTCGACATGTAATGTAGACTTGGGGATGTTTCTGTGCATGCTGCAGAGAGTTAGTCGTTACTCGCTGCAGAGGACCTCTGCGAGATTATGTACTCTTGATCAGGTTCCCCCTAGTTGGTGGTTTGGGGTAAATGGGAAGCCGCCTCCAACCACCCAGTGAAGGGAAGCTGAGTTGTTTTCCAGAGGCTTGGCATTTGCAGGGCTGGGTTTCGGGCGGTTTGGCATTCTTTGTCACCCGGCCAGGCATTCGCCAACATGTTCATGGGCAGTTTGCAGTTTGTCAGAACCTACCCGTGCATCGGAGCCCTTGCAACTGCCCCGTCTTTCTTTCCCAACAACACTCGGAACCCGATCTCAGAGCCGGCCCGGACCGGAGCTTTGGGTTTGCGGTTTGAGGGTCTTAGAGCCCTTGAGAGGTTTGGCTGACTGGCCCAGAGACGACACTGCGTGGCTCAAGCAGCCGGCTGAAGCCGCAGACGCACGCAACATTGGCGCGAGAATGGTGCGGTGCATCCGATTTTGTCGCCCAGCATTGGCCCTCCAGGAGGTTACGTGGCTCTGTCGCGCGCGAGAAACGTTCTGTTAGATTGCCGCAGCTTCTGTAATTCACGGACATAAGTATCATGCGGGAATAATTGAAAAACAGGAACTGCCAGCAAACTGGAAGATCTCTTCAATACGTTGCAACCTTTTGTAGCTATCCTTAGTTGCCCTTAGCCTTACGCTTGAATGAACGGGTGCCTGGATCTAGGCGAATAGATTGCCGGAGCCATGCCGTTGGGTGCTGCTGGCGCAGTTTTCGGGCCAAGCTGGCGACTGATGCAACCTGGGCTCGCGCCAAAGTCAACGAAACGAAGCCCATCCATCGGCCGCATGTCGAAGGCATTTGATGAGTTCAGTGTAGGGTGCTCCATGTCTCAGTGAGAACAATGCCAAAACGACACGATCACCAAAAGTCAGACGCTGCCCTCTCATTGGAAAGCTCTTGGGATCAAGAGCCAAAACAAAGATCTGGGTATTTGGAGGGCAATGGATGTAGTTCATGCAGCTTCCGCCAGTTCAGTTCAGAGCCTATCGTAAGTTTTGTGTAGTTGACTTCTCTGTTTTGTTTTGGTTTCGAAGGCCCTTCTTTTTCTGACCGCCTTGCCTTCCTCAGCTCGCTTATCCAACC